GTATGATCACGTGCACTCTGATCTCTGCATAAACATAAATGTCTCACGTAATGAACACGTTCTTCTCAGAAATAAGCTAATTTTATTTTCACTTAATGCACTTTCCTTCAACATCAATTTAACCTTCATTTCAAGATTAAACTCTTTCACGTTCTTTAGCTTACGTATTTTAAACTCTGAAATCGAAAACTGGTATTGCCAGTTTTTCCTGGAGTTCTTGAGATCTTCGTCTCCGTACGGTTAACATTTGGGAGTCTAGTATTATTTCGTTATCAATTTTCATCTCACATTTTAATATTATCATGTTTCGCTCATTCTCTTTACACCCACAGTCAAGCAACGTAAAAGTTCTGGTCAGAAATCCTGACGTAAAGAGATAATTTGTGAGACCAAGACGTAGATGGAAGGATAATGTTATGTCCATAAATTTATTATGGACTTCAAGAAGTTGGCTCGGGTTTGGATTCAGTGACGGTACGAGAAATTCGAGATCCATGAAATACGAACCAAGATATACTTTTCCCTGAAGATTGAGGCAGTATGTTTGTCCGAAACTTTAGTATCTACCTACAAGTCTACAGGACGTTTCTACCCAGAAGACCAATATCGACACTGAAATTTATCTCTTTCTTTCCAGCTGAGGCACCCCTACAGCATAAGAACTGCTGCTTTGTCGAATGTCATTATTTTCGTGGAACACAATAGACCGCCGCCTATAGCCGTCTATAAGCAGAACGTTTTGAAAGCAAAATTGTTACGTAAAATGCGAGCGCTCATCAACAGTAAAACCTGTGAATGTTTTCTTGGCTCATCCATCAGACATGTCACCACGATGCCACGTGCTGGATCGACTTCATCACATCCGGAACTGTTGCGTAATTAAACATTATTCGGTGAGAATGTGCGTACGCATGACTCAACGCATAATTTCTTTTTTTTTTCAATTACGGCCGTACTTCAGAACACCGCTCGTGTTCTGAAATTTCATTTAAGTTATTCAGAGACTTTGAATCTCCTTCAAATAGGGAAAATGCAAAGTTCTTCTGACACTTTCAGAAGAGTTCGCAATTTGGAAGGGAGCAACTCGGACAGTTCGGAATTTATTTTAACAAAATTTGGCACAATACACCGATGAATATTTTATTCTCATCCTTTTTCTTGAAGTAAAAAAAGTTATTAACTGTCTCGTAGGTTACCAATTTTGAAGAATTCTCCAGAAATTGTCCTTTGTGAATAGTCGGAAAATTCCCCGGATCTGGATTTCCCAGCCAGTGACTTCCTCGCTCATGAGCGCAAAGTACTTATTATTGTTGTCTTATCTCAAATAAATTGCTATGTACTGACGAATTTCAACAAAACTCCTTACTATCAAATTTCGTAAAAAAATCATTTCAGCTGTTCTCGACTCATCACATGCGGACTTGAGGAAGTACAAAGTCTTTACGAAGATAACAGGCGCACTTTTGCAACGTTCGGTTTCGAACGCGCCTACGAACGCCCTTCACACTTACTGGTGAATCTCTACTTTTAACACACAGAGATGTCTTCGTCCGACACGTTTTAAATTGCAACATGTGTAATGACTTTCTGTGCTTTCCAAGGGGGTGGCAGATGTGCTGAACAATTAGCTTTGGGGGTGAGTAATTGGGGGATGAGTAGCGGACACCTGCACTGCACGTGCAGAGGGTGGTTTGGAGAGGGTGCGATGCAGCCCTGATTGTTTTAACGTCGCAATTTATCAGCCTTGACGCTGTAAGCCCGGATTATCCGCGCAACGGATCTCAGCCATATGCGGCTCGATATAATGGCCGTACTGAATAGAACGCCCTGGTTCAACTGCATTCTATGTGGAAATTCTAGCCTCTGTAACAACGTTTTGCCGTTTGGGACAGATTACTCTTCCATCCCGTGTTAGTCTGGACTACAAGGGTGTAGACTGTCTTTAGGTAATTAGCCGCTAGAATTTCACCCGTCAAGAATTACGCTAAAATCTAAATTAGTACTTAACACACATTTCTATTGAAAAATCTAACAAATTAGCGTATAAAAATTAAGATAATTACTTATCTTTACGTTATTAAAGAATATTACACTATTTAATATAGTGCAAATAGTGACGTTGCCATGGTGACACCTAATAATTATTGATCACCAACCAAGAAACCATGAGAATATACCTAAAAGTAGATACTCTACTTTGTGGTAAACCAGGAAAAGTTTTGGAGATCATTCCACAAATTTTGTCATTCATCAGATTCCTAACATATAAATGTACTTAGGATAATCACATACAAATTTTAGGCTAAGAAATTTAGTCATGTAAATTGTATCACGTATGAAAATTACTATTTCACCAGAAAGTCTTTGACAAACTGCAGAAATCCTATCCATATCGTTCGGTAAGAATGTTAGCCAGTCAGTGATAAGTCATATCTTTAATACGAACTGTCCATGTGTTCATAAGCTGACTCACATTTACAAATGTACTAACGTTGTTCAAGTCATACAATTTTTCTTCTGTAATAGGATAATCTGAAAGTGTAAAAAGGGTCTCCGTTGTCGTGGTTGCTAACTCTGATATGTACGCTATTGCAGTTTGACCGCGAGTTTAAGGCGAAGCGCCTGGGTAACTGGGAGGTGCCGAAGTGGTATCCCGACCGACCGAGGCCCCCTAGAAAGACACCGACCCGAATCATCGTCAACGATCGTGGTCACCTTCTTCCAGAAATTCAGCGCGCTCCTGGGGACTCCGCCTGGGGCAACTACGTCGGCACCTGGGACTTGCCCAAAAAGATTTCCCGCAAGCTGGGTCAGTGTCCCCCTCCTGTGGCGTGACTTAGTTTCCTCTGTTTCTTGGGAATTTTTCTCTCAGCTTAAACAGCGATTATTTCCCAAAAAAACAACATATATTCTATACCAGTGGTATTCAATCTGGGGTACGCGTACCCCCGGGGGTACGCGAAGACATCTTAGGGGGCACGTGAAATTTTTAAAAATAATATTTTATGATAAACACTGAATAATCAGTAATGTAATTTATTTAATTTATTTTAGATGTAGATTATATACTATGTATAACTTGAATTATACACCAACAACTTTGGGGGGTACAAAGTTGAAGAGAAATTATATCTGGGGGTACGCGAACAAAAAAGGTTCAATACCACTGTTCTATACGGCCTTCATACTTCAAAGGATTAATGAATATTGCGTTTGTCCTGGAGCTGGAATGAATTGATGTTGATGATGTTCCAGCCAACGAGCTGACACAACCGCCTTCATCCCGTCACACTTCGTGGGAACGCCGTTCTTTCCATGCCCCTTTGACAGCGCCCGGTGCGACTCTGGATGAGCAGGCTGGGGAAGACAAAAGCAAGGAACAGGACGACGTATCGCCCCCTGGTCACAGGAACAAGCAAATTGGCTGCAATGATGTGAGTAGCTTCTCTGTTTCTCTCGCTGTACCGCAAAGCTGCCCCGATTTGTAATTATGGTTTGTCAATTACGCCTGAATTATTTTCTGAAATACGCCAGTCTACAATGTACTTATATTTCCCCCGCCTCTTTAGGAATATTAAGGTACAAGAAAAGTACCTAAATCCCCATAATTCTAAGTAATATTTCACATATAAATCTCGTATTTTTCAAAAAATTCTTTCTTCCAGATTTCACGGCTTCGACGTTCCTTGTCTTGTTGCTATAAGATTAATCTGTGCGTTTATGTTGTTTTTTTCCCCAAAACCGATCTGTGTTTCACTGCTATTTCTGTAAATAATAGAACACTAGACAACTTGAATATGTAATTATCAGGATAAGTAGTTTCATTATTTACTTATGTACTTAATAAATCATACGAACTCCAACTGTGAAAAAGCTCCGCGCCTTGCTGCAGCGGCAACTTCTCCGACTGAGGTGTTGTGCTTGTAGTCTAAACACTACTGTGCAGGCGGAAGCCTGCATCCGAATACTGAAATTCACAATCGATGAACCTGATGATTTGCGTAGGCTCTATCTAACGACGAAATCGAGAATACACTGGATTTTTCCTCCGTGTCCTCCATACGACTTAATGATAACGATTTCAGGCACATGGTTAACTTGGTATTAAAGCAAAGTCTGATCTTCATCTGCACGGTTAATGTACGTTGCATGGTTGTACTCAGTCACTGGGCAGTGAAATTGCATAGTGCATTAATCACACACAGAAAACCTCAACTTCGTATTTCTGCAGTTGTTCATATTTTAAGAGTTTTATAATAAAATCAGTTCAGAAATGTATAATGGAATCCATTTTAAATTTGTGTATTTTTTGAAAACTTTATTTTCCTGCGTTCTTCCTTGTTCTAATGGCATGTTTAAATTTTATAAAAATAAATTCAGAACAGTGCAACTGAATCATTAATTTACGATTTGCATCGTGGTTTACTGAGAACCGATGCACTATTGCAATAATTTGACAACCGGCCTGCATATTTTGTGCTCAGTCACATAATAAATGTTAAAAGATTCTGTCTGTTGTGGTAGGGTCACCATGACGACGACATGAAGCCTAAGAACAACGGTGCCACTCCTCCTGGATCTGCGGGGCCGCTTTGTGTGACCGGACACTCCGCCACTCCTCCGAATTTGATAGAGACTGGGCGTGACTCTACGATCGAACACAAATCCCGGACTCCCCCTAAAGCCTCCCCTTGCCAGCGCGTACTCTAACTTTCAGATAGCGAAGCAGTTGCACCGAGAGAACTTGCAACACAAGCCTCTGCCCGACACCGTGGACGACCCCCTGTACCGCGCTCTGCAGGTCAACAGAGTGCAACACCCCGGGAAGAGTCTGAATGTGGGACCGCCTCGGGTGTCGGCGGTGGGGTACCGAGGTTACGGAGCGTCTGGTCCGTCTCACTGCAGCAAACTGAAAGTGTACCGTCCCAAGACAGCGGTACAGACGGAGGAACGCA